TATGTCGGATTTGTGAACATTTTCGTAGTATAGTCATTTCTGATTACTTTTAATTTTCACCAGTTTGAGACACGAGTCTCGACACTTCCCACGTTTTGTGGTCGAATGTTTGATTAGTTGAAATTTGCGCACTGTAAAGTATCAAGTGAAAGCCACGAGTGCCGACCGTGGCTCATGGTCGGTTGTGGTTCGGATGCATCCAACCCCGAGAATAAGGATACTGTTACGACAACCAAACACAAGAGCGTCAAGGGGGAAACAGGATGTTGGGGGATTTTACAACACCTTATCTGCAAGCTGCATATGTTCTTATGTCATTGAGACGTGTTGTTGTCATGGCTGGGGGAGACGTTCTAGGTTTCTCAATTTCTATTACGGGTTTCGAAGGTCTGCCTCAACCTCCTATCTCGGCTTGCATCACGGTTCAACATGGGAACCGCTAGTGAACGCTTTTCGAAGAGACTTCTTTTGAAGATTTCAAGTTCGCGACACTTTGGTGACGAGGCTTCCGTTTTTAGAGTTTCGTCAGGATGTCGGATTTGTGAATGTTTTCATAGTGTAGACTTTTTTAGAGAGACATCTCGACATTTCGAAATTAGAATGTGCGATTAGTTGAAATTTCCACGGGAAATTTTTTGTTGATTGTGGACGGTCCGACATAGCCTTGCCAAATCTTTGGTTAATGGAAACTTTTCAGGTAACCGTTACGAATTCACAACATTGGGACCAGATAACTGTTATCAGTTTCTAAGGCGTATTTCTCATTTGTCTCGACACTGGTTGTGTGCCTGCTTATGTAGGTTGGGTGTCTCGCTCTGTTTTTAATTTTTCTTCGCTTTTCAATCTAGTTCTCATGAGTTGTCAATTGTCTTCAAAATCCAGTGAGATCTTTCAAAATAATTATAAGGTCCTTGGTCACTTCAACATCTGATAATTTGTACACAGTTTGATTCGGATGTATCCTACGCATTCGTTTGAGCCTTCTACAATGCCCAATCCTCATATGATAACGTCTCTACATAATATGCTCCCCACCACTTCACTCCGTACGATGCCCGTTTGTTTTGAGAAATGTTTGGTAAAGTGATAATGTACATGCATCCGCCATCTAATTGAAATTTAAGACTTCTGGTTACTAGAGTTCTTAAGGGGTTCCCGAGGGTGCACTTTTGTTTGTTAACATACATTATTTGATCTTGGCAAGGACAGTGGCGGAGTGATGGGCAGCATTGGGTAGGGAAGTTACAAGTTCATGGTTGCGAGGTCTTACCCAGCAAGTGGCAAATGATAACATCTCTGTATAATGTTGCCCACCACTTCACTCCGTCCGATGCCCTTTTGTTTTACGAAATATCTGCTAAGCTATAATTGTTCTTGGAATGATAACATATTGGTTAATTTTCCCTCGGAGGGTAATCCGGGCTATGATCATAAGTTCATCATTTTGATTGAGTGAACTTCAAAGATATTTAATGAATGACACACGGTTTATAACATAACGGATTTTCTCCATCCGAATAATGAAATATTTGATTCGGATATATCCCAGTTATACTATAAAACTAGCCAACTTGTGTATTATGGATTATATCGAAACATTTGACTCGGATGTATCCTACTCATCCTGCTTGTATTCAATTAAACTTCAAAAATGAGCTCTTCTTTTCACTCCCATGCACCCTTTAAAGCCTCAACGAAGACCTTTTTTGGGTCACTCATATACATCCCTCACAAGGGGAAACCTTCGATATGCTACGTTCGTACTAACTGTCTGAATGTGTGTCAGTTTAGTTGAGGATTTATCCGTTGAACAAGGACTCTGATCGTTGTTTATTAATGTATAATGGGCATCTTCTTTCGTCAGCCGTGTATACCTTTCGAGTTTCTCGAACGACAAAAGTACTATTTAGAAAATAATGTACTATTTTAATGAATAACATGTTGTGCTTGGGGGTGTTCCGCTGCATCTTGTGATACTTCGGTGGTGTTTCCCCTAGTGTAGGAGTCATCAATCTTGTCTTTTTGGTGATTTGAGTGTTTGGGGGTGTTGCGCTGCATCTTGTGCTACTTCAGTGATGTTTTAGTGTAGGTGATCTCCAACTTGTCATTTTGCTGGTTTAGGTGTTGGGGTGTGTAGCGCTTCACCTTGTCATACTTCAGTGATGTTTCCCCTAGTGTAGGAGTCATCAATCTTGTCTTTTTGGTAATTTGGGTGCTTGGGGGTGTTGCGTTGCATTTTGTGATACTTCGGTGATGTTTCCCCTAGTGTAGATGATCTCCAACTTGTGTTTTCACTGATTTGGGTGCTTGGGTAAGTTGCGATTCATCTTGTGATAGTTCGGTGAACTTTCCCCTTGTGTTGATGCTTCAAAACTTGTGTTTTCACTGATTTGGGTGCTTGGGTAAGTTGCGATTCATCTTGTGATAGTTCGGTGAACTTTCCCCTTGTGTTGATGCTTCAAATCCTGTGTTTTCACTGATTTGGGTGCTTGGGTAAGTTGCGATTCATCTTGTGATAGTTCGGTGAGCTTTCCCCTTGTTTTCATGCTTCAAATCTTGAGCTTTCACTGATTTGGGTGCTTGTACATGTTGCGATTCATCTTGTGATAGTTCAATGAACTTTCCCCTTGTGTTGATGCTTCAAATCTTGTGTTTTCACTGATTTGGGTGCTTGGGGGTGTTGCGCTGCATCTTGTGATAGTTCGGTGAACTTTCCCCTTGTGTTGATGCTTCAAATCTTGTGTTTTTACTGATTTGGATGCTTGTACATGTTGCGATTCATCTTGTGATAGTTCGGTGAACTTTTCCGTTGTGTTGATGCTTCAAATCTTGTGTTTTCACTGATTTGGGTGCTTGGGTAAGTTGCAATTCATCTTGTGATAGTTCGGTAAACTTTCCCCTTGTGTTGATGTTTCAAATCTTATGCTTTCACTGATTTCGGTGCTTGGGTAAGTTGCGATTCATCTTGTGATAGTTCGGTGAACTTTCCCGAAATGCACCGACGGATATTGGGATCTCCGTCGTTGGTGGGCACACGAGCCCCGAAACCCGTTGCCTGAAACAGGAAAACCCAGCGAGACATCTCAGCCCTCGTGCCGTGTGTGCGTGGCGCATAAGAGTGCAAACCTAGAAGTCCGTCGGCATCCGTACTTCATGATGTCCGCACGACCGGTGAGGCGCAAACGAGGATGACAACCGCCACTCACGCGCACCGAAATCTGAACATCGGATGCCGGCGGACTAACGTAATGGCCAACTGGCTCGTGTGCGACGAAATTCACACGTGCCCCGCTGCCGATCGCAACGTTCGACAGACGGACGGTGGTAACAACAGGATGTGTTTTTGGGATTCTTCCAATTCGGCAGGCAGTGTCAAAAAAGTACCGGGGCCCGAAAGGAAATTGTCCACGTTGAGACGCATCCATTAGACAAGAATGTGATCCGGCGGCGGCAGTGCGAGAAGGGACATGGGACCTGCGGGAAACCTGCGGGCAACGGTAACTAGAAGTAAGGCTGTTTGTCATCGAATACGGCTAGTCCGCCGGGATCCGAACTTGTTGAAACGTAAAGAAACGCAAGAGCGGATATTTGGTTATCGGTCGAGGACATATGGTTCACCATTGCAACGGCGAGCAACACCCGTCACAACATCACAGCTTCGTCCCAACGCACACAGACCACGGGTAAGCAACCCAGGAAGTCCCTCGAGATTCGGAGTTCGTCGGATGCCAACTGTTCGACAAGGGCACCCAAAACTGTAGATCGGGTGACGGCGGACTGAGGCGATCGCCAACGTCCACGACTGCAAGGGATGGCACACGTGTCGCACTGTCGGTTGCGAGATCATCCACGAATACCGCGATGACATTCGCGTTGCCCTTCGAGGGCACTACTAACCGCGCGACTGAGGATCTCTCGCCTCGTGGTCATCGCCCCCAGCAAAAGACACGTCAGCGGCCAAAGTCCACGCTCGCAATGACAATGCGGCCGACATCGCGCAACTAGAGCGATGGTCTGTGAGCTTCGTTTCCCGAGCTCCCGACCATGCGGATAATGACATCGCGCCACGTGGACATCGCCTCCCTCCTCAAGCTCGTCTCGCACCGCGGGAAACAGTGATCATGCACCGCTCGCATGAACCCTTCACTTAAACCGCGAGAACAGCGATCAGGCTGGACCATGTAAAACGTCACAGAACGCCACCCGAATCACGCTGCCCGAGGCAGTCATGGTCGGGGCAGAACAGTCTTGCGTTGGATGATGACAGGGCACCAACGGTAGACATTGCGGACGACACATTGGGTGGAGGGTGGGGGGCGACCCGTCCCTTACCAATCAGTCGATCGATCAATCAGCAAAAAAAAAACAAAAAAAAAACGGGAAAACCACATTTCGAACGAGAGCGAAAAATAGAGAGCGAGGGGTGAAACAGACAAACAGCAAGAGAGAGAGATCTAGATAGTGAGTGTAGGAAAACTGCGGCCACACAGTCATAGCAACTTTCAAGCTCACAACAAAATCAGAATGAAAGTATCCTTCTTCCCATGAGAGCTTTTAAACAATAGATATAAAATCACGAGCACGAATAAAACTCCCCTTACCTCACTCTCCCATCCCCTCTCCTTCCCTTTCATCCTGTTTCACCATGGCCCTGCCATCACCAATACTCCTCCCCTGAGCTCGTAGTATCCTCGACCGGTTTCGTCCGACTACGTTCGGACTCTTTAGGAGGTAGGATCGAAATCCCTTAGCTCACTGCAGCGTTGGCCCTGCTGCCGTACTTGTTCCCTGGCCCATCCCCACACTAGTCCCCTCTCTCTCCCGACTACCGAATTGACAAAATTCAAGAAGATTAAAATTTTTAAAATAGCGATTTCAAGAAGTCCCCTGGTCTAGCTGCCAGGTTTCAAACCACAGTCGTATCCCCTAGTTTTCTGATAAGTCACAAGGCCGCTCCCTCGAATCCATCCTGTTTGACCCAGTCTCTGGGCCGATTCCTCGTGACAAACCCCGCTTTATCCCATTGCCAGCATTTTCCTATTCACTATCCCTGTCCCTAACTCCCTTGGTACCCCTTATCCATTACCACCTACCCGTACCCTCTGATCTCGTACCCCAGACCCCTGGTACCCGTTACCCCCCGTCTCCTCCGCACGAACCCCTTGCTCAACATCTGCAGTAGACAGCGCAAATTCGGATCACTCGTAGCCTCGACCAATTTGGCCAAGGCACCTAGAGAGACCTTCGGGGCATAGCCCCGAAAGTATGCCTCCCACGACATATAGGCTATCGAGCCAATGACCAAGACCTGGCATGAAGTCGAGCTCCACAATCTCTTCAGGGTGGCTGCCAGCATAGACTTCTTCGACTTTTTCTCCAAGTACGATGCATAGTCCTGCATCGTGTGATACCTGATACTGGCAATCTCCCGTAGTGTCACCACGTTCTTCGTCCCCGGGACGAACATCAGTCTCACTGGCTGTTGCAACAGGTAAAACGATCCGCCCAGAAAATGCCACCAGTCCTTCCCTCCGTCCTTTCTGACCAGAGTCAGGTTCTCATCATAGCTGGTCTCTAGTTTCCCGAAAACCTCATCATTCGAACTCCTCTCTCCCGCCTGCCTTCCCACCACCACCGTGATGTCATCTACGATCCTCCATCCGCCGACCAACTTCCCATCCGAGCCCAGCCCCTTCAGCATATTGAACTCTGCCATCGCACAAGTAATCGTGGCAAGGATCGGGCTAGTACATTTCCCCATGGGGATTCCAGATATTTGTCTCCTCATCACCTGCCCGCAGTTGACATACGCATTGTTGAGATCGTACTCAACCATCGCAAAAATACTCTCAAAGCGGATGCCCACATAGCCATCCGTCGCCCTGCAGGTCTTGCTCAGCGTACACATTCTTCCTCTCCTGGACACCTTAACCTGCCTCCAACCTCTGTTAGCATACCATACCAGTATCTACCAGACTGACCGCCGAACCGCATCATGCGGTATCTTCGTTAACATGTCTTTTATGTCGTAACATCTTCCCTCCACCCCCGTACATCCGATCTCGGTTGATCTCTTCTGCACCGCCTCCTGTTTTGCAGGTAGCTCCTGAATTAAATTGAGGTAAAAAGTATGCTCCTTCGGAAACAGCTTCATAAGGTAGTGCAGTGCCTTGGCCACCTTTCGCTGCGCCGTTCCCGCCGGGTCGCCCGTGGCTGGAGCTATCGGTCTCCATCTGTCGAGATCCTTATCCTTGGGAATGACATACGCCCGTCCAATTCGCCCGTCTGTCTTCCACGCAGCGATCTTATGCAGACTGGCTTGCTTAAAATCGTTCCTCGCTCTCAGCAGGATGTCCTGCTCCTTTTCCCGTGCATCTTCGTAGTTACAGTTCCACACGAAGGTCTTCCCAAAGGCGTGTCGATAAATAACAGGGCAGATAACTGTTGTATCGCCCTGATTGTGGTCCATCGGGGCGAGTACCAGCCCCTCAAATCTCTTACACCACTTCGCCACCTGCTCCTCATCCCACGTGCCCTGCCCACGTGCCCTGCCCACGTGCCCTGCCCACGTGCCCTGCCCACGTGCCCCCGTCACTGCCTTGCTCATGAAACCGCCGGCAGGTATGTCGACATCCTCCATTTTCCCTCCCAGGTGACTCGTCCCCTTGACGATAGCTTGCACGATCGCCTGAGTGGTGCCACCCTTCGAACTGCATGTCACATTTCTGTTGTTCTTCATAAAAACCGGTACCTCCTTCAAATCAGAGAACCGTGCGAACACGTGTTTATCTATGGTAGGAAGACCAACTGCTCTGCATATGCAGAGCTGTTCCTCGACGTGTGCATGTTTCCGATGATTATGTATGATCTCTCCTACCGCCCTGTTCCGTTTCCAGGTCACCCGTACCCTTCCTTTAATCTGATTAGCGACAACTGCATCCTTCACCTTTCTTCCCACCACACCCTCTGTCGCCTGCCTTATCTCCCTCTTCACCAACTGTTTATCGTACGTGACCTTCACTTGTACCCTCTTCCGTATGCCTACTCCAGTCTTCTTCTTCACGGCCCTGTCGATCTTCAGTCTCAAATCATTCTTGGTCTTCTTCTCTCTGAAGAAGCCTGTTGCCCGGTACATTCCCACCAGTTGGTTGGTGGTATAACTCACCATCTTTTTGAATAATATCGGTTTCTTGAGCATCCACCTCAGTTCTTGCATGTACGTAGCTGTTGTCGTCGTTGTCTTAGTGATCCCGATGAACACCACCGTCATTCCTTGCTGTAGTTCCCCCTTGATCGTAGAAAGTTTCTTCACCCTCCCATTAATCCTCACTTTCGTCATCCCGAAAAGCCTCTTAATCTCCCTCCACCCGTCCGACCAGATCTCTCCCCCGTGGAACTGCACCCTCCTCTCGCCCTTCGTGTTCTTTATCCATTCTTCTTCCAACCAGGTCTTCAGCGATACCCTCCGTTCGTACGCTCTTCCGTGCGTGAAACTCACGACGCCCTTCACCTTCTCACCCTGTCCCGTTTTCAACCTCTTCCTCTCCCTCTTACCTTTCCTCCTGTTCCGAGTCTTACCCGTCCCTCGATCGCTAGTGTTGCACGTTTTCCGTGAAGGTGAAAAATCCTGTATGAGGTGTCTCTCGAAGGCCTGATCATCCTCTTCATTCGCGTGTCTGACCGGGATAATCACGAAATTGCTTGGACCGTAATGGCGCATCGATCGGTACAGTTTCGGTGAACTCCCGATGACCTCGGTGTAAGCGTTGCTGAGATGCTCACGCCATCTCTGCATGGTGCTCCGGATCGTACTACCCACGTAAACTTTTTTAGACCATGGCGATGCCACGATGTAAACACCGACTTCCTTTAGATCCAACATGCTCGCGGTGATCTCTGGTCGTACCAGATACTTAGTTAACCAGTGTATCTGCCCCCTTAAAGCCAAAAGAACAGTAGTAGTCGTGATTACACGCTCGATTGCCGCTAGTTGCTCACTGCTCCGCCTTTGCCCCCAGAGGGATGACCGCAACCGCATATGGCTTTTCAGAGTTTCCCATAGCGTTACGGTCGTAGGGGGCGCAGGTAGTCAGTCTGACTCCTGCGCTTTGTGCTTCTTCACTGATCTCAAAGTGACTCTCGCCGGTGTTGACTGAACCGACGACCTCGTTCCTCTCTTTTCAGGTCCCGCCATATCCTCCCCCAGATTCACTTTCGCTCCCTCCTCCTCCCCTGGCTCTGTCTCCACCTCCACAAAACCCTCGTATGCAAGTTTCACTTGCTCCGTAGCTAGGACATCAATGATCTCAGGTTTCCTCGTGTATCTCATGCCCTTCTTCTGACACACCTTTCGTAGCATCGGTACCTTCTTGGCGGATAGGATCTTTTGTGTTGATAGACAATAGTCAATAATGCCCTCCCTGGAACATTTTGCCGCCAGACCCTTGTAGCCGTTCTCCATTGGTGTCCTTGGTTCATCTGCCCGCATCTCACCGTCGCCCCTCGATATGTTGAACCTTATTCCTCCCATCCTCGGTGAGCCCCGACATTGATTGATCTCATCCCATGGTTCCCCGAAACCGCACCCAATGTCGTTTGTACTCCTCAAAACATCTTCCATATCCTCTCGATAATGCCTGGTTCGTGCCTTCCCTCTCGAACATTCTCCCCATTCCGTCGTGGACTAAATCTTGTCAGGTGTCTTGCAAGGTGTCTTCTCATTCCCCAGATTTTCCCGTTTCTTCGGTCTCCCCCTCTTCCCCGACTTCCTCGCTCTTTTCTCCATCTTCAAACGTTCGATAGTTCTCCTCAGCTCTTCGTCCGAGTCAGTGGTGTCGGCGTCCCATTCTGAATCCTCCCAGGTCACTTCTTCCGATTCATACTCCCAAACTCTCTTCCTACTCGAGCTCGCCGGTGTATCCCGTGCCCTGTGCGCACTCATCCTCACCTTCTCGATTCTAGCCTTCTCAAAATTCGCCCTGCCCTCTCTCCCTCACTACTAGATAGTGAGGGAGAGAGAGAGAGAGAGAGAGCAAAGACAGCGAGAGAGAGAGCGAGAGAGAGAGAGAGAGAGAGAGAGAGAGAGAGAGAGAGAGAGAGAGAGAGAGAGAGAGAGAGAGAGAGAG